TTGAACTTCCTTTCCAACCATCCTCACCACAGTCAAAAGGGGGAAGTTTGCTCAGATCCCTGGCCGAGGCCACCAAAATGTCAACTTCACACCAAAATATTTTTTTGCCATATCTAAGTTCTCAGCATTTGGGAAAAGAGGGTAATGATATTTACTGAGCACTCCTGATGATGCCTGGAGCTTTCACCTGCATAACCTTGATTAAGTCTCCCAGCAGCCCTGGGGGGTAATGATTTTCATTCCTGAGTCTGCAGATCTACATGTTAGAGATGCAATTAATTTGAACTAAGGAAGACTGACTCAAGTGGGATTTGAAGCAGGGCTGTTAATTCTCTGATCTCTCCAAGTTTTTTAAATTTTTTTTGAACTTGAAACTATGGTTTGACTCATTCTAGACTGACATGTGTTTTGGGAAGCATTATGGTTCCCAGTGAAAGTAGCAGTGGAAACAGCCTGGGGCCCAGGCATGAAAACAAGAAAATGGGCCCTTGTCTCCATTGTGTTAGTAACTCCTTTTGGAGCTGTAAAAGTTCATTACAGCGAAAATCCACTGTATAGATTTGACTCCCCCCAAACTTAGCTACTAACAGCCTGCTACCCACCAGAAGCCTTACTGATAAGAAAGTTGATTAAGACATATTTTGTGTGTCTTATGTGTTAGGTACTGTATCCTTAAAATCAAGTAAGCTAGAGCAAAGGAAATGTTACTCAGAAAATCATAAGGAACAGAAAATGCATTTACCGTACTGTACTACGATGTGTTTTTTTAAAAATCCACATATAAGTGGACCCATGTTGTTCAGGGGATCAGCTGTTGACCTCTGCCTCTTGGTCTCTTTATGTATACAATGAGACTAGTAGATCTGAGGGCAGGGTGACTAGGAGGGCGAAAGAATTAAATAATCCCATTCATTTCCCCTTGTCCTGACACAGGATAGCCATCAATGCGGACTTCTGTTTCTAGCCTTTTGTAACCTGGGACTTTAGTACATGCTCTTTCTGATAATACATTCTGATTCTATTTCCTCCCTAAACAGAAATTCAAAATCAACACCCATATACACATATTTACTAAATGTATAAAAACATGCACAGGAATGATAAAATTGAAATTTAACATATCCGTTCCTTCTGGGGAGGGGAAGGCAGGGGAATGGGGTCTGGGTGGGATAAGGATACACAGAATGCTTTAACTGATATCTGTGACATTTCATTTCTTAGAAAAAAGTATCTGGAGCAAAAATGCCAAAACATCCTGATTGGATGGAGCTGGGTACTGGTTGCAAATGGGTTAATTATCGTATTCTGTCATCAACGCTTTTTTGTACCTTTGCAATATTTCATAATCTTAAAAATGTCATTGTCAAAAAAAAGAGATCTCCAATCGAAGTGGTCAGTCATCCTATAGCCTTTCTCCCCTCCACCTCTTTGTCAAAACTGAGAAACACATTCTCTTCCCATGAGTTATCACTGTGTCCTCCACCTGATCATGTTCCCAGGCTAAGACCCAAAATAACAACAGCCCGCATGGCAAGAGCATCTAAAAGCCCCAGAGAGGTCCTCACGGCTCATGCTGCACTCAGGCCCTTCATTCTGTGGCGTCCATCCTCTGAGCACTGACCAGCTCCTGGTCCAACACCTACCAAGTAGGCTTGGACTACAGAGCCAAGCCAGTCTGATTAAGTAGAATGTGTAAGCGTGATTGCTCCCCAGCTGTCTCTACTGCTAGGAGTGCCGTAACCCAGACTCTGCGTTGCTCTGGCTGGCTTCACCACCTTGCTGTGACTTAGAAACCCACTCTGGATGCCAGGACCATTCTCCTCTCAGTCTCGCCCTTGAAGCCTTCACTTTTGCCCTAGTAGAGGGTAAATTAGTGTAGTGGAGCAGATGGGTCTTTCTTGGGCCCAAGTCTGGATTGACGTTGGGGGGAGTGGGAATCGGACCATTGCTTGTCCCGTGCACGGAACAAGCAGGCCTCCTGTTCCCATTTCTGTCTGCTCCTTTGTAGGCTGTACCACATCACACTCTGGACCTTCCTCCTCGCCCTGGGGCACTTCCTGTCCGAGTTGTTTGTCTTTGGGACCGCAGCTCCCACGATTGGCGTCTTGGCCCCCCTGATGGTGGCAAGTAAGCACCTGCCCCCCCAGACCTCCTATGGGAACTGTACCCTAGGGCCTGGGGTGGGAGAGCAGACATACAAGAGGATAAGAAAGTGCTGTGCTGATGTCCGCCACCTTTCTTTTCTCTTACTTAAGGTTTCTCAATCCTGGGTATGCTAGTTGGCCTCCGGTACCTAGAAGTCGAACCAGTATCCAGACAGAAGAAGAGAAACTGAGGCCGGCGTTAACCACCTCTGAGACTTCGTCTTCCACCTTGCGTCCCCTTCCTTCATCCTCCATCCTCTTCTTTCTGCTCCATCCTGAGCCCTCTTACCACTCCTAGCCTTTTAGGTTTGGGGTTTTTCTTACACTTCAAAATTTTTAAGCTACAACCTTCACACAGAAAATATAATGTGTACATACAATTGAAAGAATCCTTTTAAATGATTGCATACTCTGTCCCTTCACCCAGATCAAGAGATGTCCAGCACCTCAGAAACCCACTATGTGCCCTTCCCCTACCTACAGTCTCTTCCAGGATCCCTTTTCCAGCCTTCTGCTTTTTCCCTTTATTTTCATCCCTTCCTCTGACTTGTGTGGTGGGAACACGTGAACTATGAAACTTACAGCTGCTGCGCTACCCAGAGCAGCTGCCACCAAGGGCTGCTTCAGGAGGTCGCCCCCCGAGGTTGGGCTCCTCTCTGCTGCTGGCCCCAAGACTCTGAACCATCCGAGGAACAGGCAGTTCTTCTAAGAAGGGCTCCCCTGTGAGTAAGCATGGCTCGCATACTTGTGTCTACAAGTGGATCAGGGTTGGAAGAGTCTGGGCTGTTTTTAGACCTTCTGGTCAGCTCTATTTGTGTAACAAATTTTGTAATAAATAGAAAAATCCTCTGCTTGGATCAGTCCTTGTACTTTGATCTCCCCTAAGCCAGGAGCACTCCTGCCCCTCTCCGAGCCAGAGTGTAGGAGAATCAAAGCTTTTTGCTGATCAAATACACCCTAACTGGTAGGACAGTTCAAGGACCCAGGGACCCACCAACTATTGTCAAGAGGTAGGAAGAAAAGCAGTGATCTTACGGTGTTAGCATGTGAGTGTAGATGACGTGTTGCTCACCTTAGAAAGTGAATGAAAGCATGCATGGTCTGGATTTGGATGCTTTAAGCATACGTCATAGAAACATAATTCCAGATAAGCCAAGACAAGACCCAAAGGATCTGAAGAGATGATTTAGAATAGAATGCATCATGAATTTTATCATTCTTTAACAGCCATCTTGGCTCCCTTTCAAGATGATTTAAAGTAAAATTCGTCGAGTCTCTCTCCAGCTGAGAACTGCTAACAGATAATGGTGCCAGAATGCCACAGGCACCGTGCATTCACTAAGAAACGTACAGAAAACTGAGAGCAGCATGTCCTAGCCACAGCGTAAGGCCCACCCGCCCGGGAAGGGAGAAGTGGCAGTAGGTCGGATAGTTCAGAAGGAAAAATGGTGACACAACTGCAGAGGCCAAAAGCATGGACTCTGGCCAGGGCCAGATGGTGCAGTCGTATAGCAAACACTTCAGCCACACTTTGAGGAAGAGCCAGAAACAACCGCGGGCTCTGAGCGGCGCCCCCGTGTGTGGACCGTTCACATGTGTACACAGCCCAGAAGGCAGGCAGGGTCACGCGCAGGCCGGTGAGGTACAAGGTACCACATAGGCCCACATTCAGTCTTCCAGCCTTGTCTTGAAACAGTAGGCGCCGTGGGGAGGGTCACATCTGTGTGAACAGAGGATCCACCTCTGCAGTGGGCCCTGGGAACTGCTGCTCTAGCCCCAGGCCCCTCCCATCCCGTCCCGTGGGCCCAGGCCCCACAAATGAGCTGGAATCTCGGCTACCACAAGACACCTCTGCTCCATCTAATGACATGGCAGGCCACTTGGAGAATCTTTTATTGTCTTAAAATATCTGGCATTATAAGTAGAAAATACAAATTACGCTTTTAAAGGAATGACCAATCTGGTAAACGTTTTGTTAAAAAGTTTTAAGGAGCTGGAGAGTAAACACATTTCTCCTTATTAAAAAGCAAGACATGCTTCCTCTCCACCTCTCTTCCACCCCCCAACACTCCCCTAGCAGAAGTGTGAATTTCTCTTACAGCACATCTGGAATGTTTGTACACACACACACACACACACACACACACGGCTCCCCTCAGGCAGCAGCCCCCCTGCCAACCCAGGCTGCCCCCAGATGCCCAGACCAGGCAGTGGCCACAGCCCAGCAGCACCATGGACATGATCACAGCTGCTCAGCGCAGGAGAAATGATTCAAATGTCTTATTTTGGGGGGACACTACCCCAGCCCATGAGGAGAGCCAGATAGCAGGCTGGGCAGGCGAGGAGGTCTCCCTGGGTTGGTTTAGAGGGAATCCCTTGAGAAAGAAAAAAAAGGGGGAATCCCTCTACATTCACAACATCTATTAAAAGGTGATTGCTGGAAGGGGACGGTGAGAGGGGTTGGATGTGCGAATACGATCCCCTCCAGAGGCAGAAGGCACTTAATTCAAGCCAACTCAATTCCTTTTCCTTCTGCCCCTTTCCTCTCCTCTCTCAGAAGCTGTGGATTTCTCAGGGTGGAATGAAACAAAGTTTTCAGGAAAGATTACAGGAAGGTGGCTGGGATTTCCCTCCCTTCAGAGAAAGGAAGCACTAAGGCTGATGACAGTTTCTCAAGGCATCAGCGGTGACGACAACACACACACAAAGAAGTCCCTGGGCACAGATCTTGTAGAAAAGAACCATCCTGTCCCCAAATCTAGCTACCACAGTTCCCAAAGGCTGGACTTTCACAAGCGGCCTCACGCTGCTAGGCAGGTCACCCTCCCAGACAGGCTTCTCCTTCACGGCCACAGCAAAGTTTCTGTCAAGTTTATTGATGTTGGGTTTGATCAGCTCTTAGGAGAGGGTCTGGAAACAGACCCCAGCCTTAGGGCAGGAGAAGCTAGGCCGAGTCCTGATGGGTTCATTCTGATGTTTTTCTGATGGTGCTTTCTCTCCCACAGAACATTAGCCACAATGTGATGACCCCAAAATTACCCCCTCTCTGGAGCAGCCGCCTCTCCTTAGAACTGGGCTTCTAAGGGTCTTATGATTCTAAAAAAAAAGTTAATATCCTGAATAAGCTTTCTTTCCGTGATAATTTTGCAGGCCCTCTCCTGGCGGGCTGGAGGGGAAGGGGGAAGACGAGGCACCACGGCTCTCCAGCAGTCTCTCCCAGCACCAGCTCCCACAGCCTGCGAGGGGGGCGGGGATGGAGCGGGCACCCAGTAGAAGGTGCCATCTTCCCCAGCTAGACCATGCAAGCTCTTGAGTGGGTTCCAGATGGCAGAGGCCCTGCCGTCCAAGCCCCCAGTATTCCAGCCGGTTCCCTCCAAAAGCTGCTGCGGCAAAGGCCTATGTGTCGGCGGTAGGTGCTGATGGAAGAGGTGGGGAGTGCTGTCTGGTTCCCTGAGTCGCCACCACCTTTTCCTCTCAGAGCTGCTCCTCAGACATAGTGGTGGGCGCTTTGCTGGTGTTACTCTCCTCCTCCTCCTCCTCCTCCTCCTCCTCCGGGAGCTTCTGCAAGGCACAAGAAGGAGGCAGCCCTTTGGGTGAAGAGGAAAAGGACTGCACCCTTGGCTGCAACAGCGGCCTGTCAGGGATGTCATCAGTGGGAAAACCAAGAGCCAGAGGCCCCTCAGCAGCCCCAGGAGCAAACAAAGGGAAGTAGAAAAGCAGCACCCAGCCTCTGTCAGTGTGCTCTCTAAACACACACACACACCCTCACTGTGTCATCAAAGAAAAGCCAGAAAGGCCAGCTCTCTGTGACACCACGGCCACCACAAATGGTCCCGCTCCGGGTACCACGGTTCAGGCTCCCTCTGGGGCCTGCGAGAGAAGCAGAGCCCACCCTCCCTCCCCATTCTGACTGACTAAAACTCACCTGGACTGACCACTGAGTAGTTCTCCAAAGTGTCAGCTCTACAACCCCCACAGAAATTCTGACTACCTTCCTTTGGAGGCGGCCGCCAGCATGAGGAATGTTATTATGGTGTGCAGGGAATGGAGGCAAGAGAGAATTTTTGTAAAGGCAGGATATAAACTCAGTGGCTAAAATTATGTATATATACCTTATACCTAGAGAAGAAGACTTTGGATCAGTCTGGCTTTGACTTTGTTGGGGAAAGATGGCCCAGGATTAGCAGAGTCCTGTGGCTCACACTTGTTCAGGTGGGTCTGGAATTAAGTATGGCCTGGAAATGATCCTCTGGGGTCCCTAGGTGTATGTTGTGCCCTGCTTCTTACCTCAAGCACTCATCCGTCGGCGGGAAAGCCCTGGCACGGGCACAGCACTGCACCATCACCACTCGAGAGCTCAAGGGACATCTACAGGCCCAGTGCCAACTGGACACATGGTGCTTCTCCCCCAGGGACTGTCTCGGGCCTAGTCCGCAGCTGGGACAACAGCTGTAGAAACCCAACCTACTCATTCTCTTGCCGGTTCCTTGCCAGCAGCTCAGCCTCAGCCATGAGTAGCTTCCACTCAGGCCACCAGCCGCCTGCTTACGTCAATCAAGCAGCCTCTCGCCTCTCGCTCACGCACACGTGCACGCCCACGCATGCCTGCCCCCTCCAAAGCCAGCACTTTGAAATCACAACCAGAAACAGAGATTAGTGGGGGCAGAAGTACAGCCGCTGTCTCTAGAGGAGAACTACCAACTGGAAGAAAAACGGAAACCCAAACCAAGATTCTCATCATCTCAAATAGCCATTAGCCCCAAGCTAGACGTTCGTTCGTACTTTTTCTTTTTTCTTTTCTTTCCTTTTCTTTTCTTTCCTTTTCTTTTCTTTTCTTTTCTTTTCTTTCTTTCTTTCTCTTTTTCTTTCTTTCTTTCTTTCTCTCTTTCTTTTTCTTTCTCTCTCTCTCTCTTTCTTTCTTTCTTTCTTTCTTTCTTTCTTTTAACCAAAACTGTATATCTCACTGATTAGAAAGAGCAGCTCTGGCCACAAATGTTGGGTGCCCTGTCTTCAGCTGGCACTGATCATGAATTTGTGTGCCGGTGGCCGGGTCTCTCTTACGCGGACTGCCATGGCGTGCATAATGGTGGGTTCCAGAGGGGGGAGGCTCTGTGACAGCCCTGCCTTCCCAGGGTGTCAGCACACCATGATTCTGACCTTCCCTAAACAATAGTCTTCCCCAGGTGTAAGGGAGGTTCAAAGGCACATGGTGAGTTATCCAGGGACACAGACTTTGGAGTACCGTCCCCGGATTTGTCTCCTTACTCCTACTCAGTGCTATTTCCTATACTCCATACAGAAGATGACCAAGCCAACAGCTCCAACCTTGACTAACAAACCCGGTCCCTGTGCACCAAGATACGGCTGCGAGAATGGTGAAATATCGCAATAACCTAAATATTAAACAAGAGGAAATGGAAATATATCTACGCAGATACGGAAAGTTTGCTAAACTACTGTTAAGCAAAAAGCAGGCTAGGACCCCAATCTGCTCCCGAAGACTCCCACAAAGCAACCCTGAATGATGGGCCGCAATGTTAATCTCCAGGTATTAGGGTTATAGGTGACCTTTTCTTTCTTCCTGTTTGCCTACATCTGCCAACGCAAACACAGATTACAAAGTAAACAGCAAAACCTCCTATCCCCTGACACAAGATGTCACATTCCAAATTGAAACCTTCTCACAAGAAATCTCTCCTGTTTTATTATAGGGCATCTTGTTCCCAGGCTCACTCTATATTTCAAACCCTGATGCCTCCTTGTAGTGGGGCCAGGTGAAAGCCCATCCTCATGGAGGTAATGCCAGGGTCCTCGCGCCAGTCTAGAGAGCAGCATTTCGGCTCCAAGGCCTTCCCTGCCTCCCCACTGAGTTTCCTGCGCTAGGCTCTGCCCTCCACATGCTACCCACTGGCCCGCCAACTCCAGAGTGTGATATCAGAAGACAAATAATCAATGAAAGCTTGTCATCCATCTGCCCACATATGTCCTTACAATACTAAATATACTCTTTCGGATACCATTTTTGCCTCACCAACTGGCAAGCTTTTCCAAAATGATAAGGCCTCCGTGTTGGCACTCCTACACTTCTAGAGCAATATACTCTGATAGTGTTGATAGGACCTTTTTCGACAACAGTTCAGCAATATGTACCAAGATCTTAAAAATGTGCATGAGCACTGATCCATTTCTCAAGGAAATAGTGTGCTTGGGAACATGCACAAAGGTTCAGCTTCCAGGACTTTAGTCATGATATTGTTTATAACAATGATTGAGAACAACCTTAATGTCCACAGACAGCAAGACTGTTAAATCATGGTTTATCCATATGCACTCATTAAAACACTGTGTAGAAATGAGAAGCATGTTATAATGACCTGATAAGGTGTTCACAAGTAAAAAAGCAGAAGATTCCATCTTTGTTTAAAAAAATTTACATATCCATATATACAACAAATATAGATATAGATATACATACATATTATATGTAGATATAGACATGTAAGTATTGCAAAAAAACCAGCATTTCATCTCTAGGTGATAATATTACAGATGATTTTTAAATTTTGTATACCTTTCTGTATTTTTTAAATTTTCCTACAAAGAACATGTATTACCTCTGTAATGGGTTTTGGGTGGTTTGTTTGTTTTTTAAGTAATATCCCACTTTTCCTCCTCACATTTGAAATTGTTTTCATCCTGGCTGATTTGATTCAACCCAACATTTTGGTTGAAATAGTCCCTAGCTGATTAAAGCAGGTGGGATACCCTCTTGTGTTCTAAATCATACTCCTGGTCCTCCCCCATCTACCACCATCATTGCCTACTCCCTGACTTGCCCTTTGTGAGCCCTGTTGGAAATGCACTGGCACCAGCCCCTCTAGCTCTACTGCACTGTCTAAGGGGCTGGAACATGCAAGGAGAACCACTGACTTGGGGCCACCACCACCACATTCAAGGTAGGCTCCCACCTTTCCTCTCCAGCCACTGAACCCTGGGCGAAAACAGTGGAGCCGGGGTCTCGGGACTTGTCTCAGGATCCAAGGAGGGGTTGCTGCTCAGCAGACTGTGACAACAGTGACATACTCTGGGGACCACAGCAGGGAGGCCAGAAGAAGGGAAGAAAGCAGAAGAGGCCAGGAAACAGCAGCACAACAGCCAGGCCGAACACTCACCCAGGAAGCTCTTGGGTGCCATGTTTATGTGAGTTGAGCTGATCTCATGGCCTCCAGAGTGGGAGCCTCCCACAATGGGAGCCCCCCGGGCTCACCCATGCTGCCACAGCCTCAAACAAAACCTGGGACCCCGCTCTCAGCCCAGCAAGCTTCCACATACTCACATTCTCAGGAGTTTCTTTGTTTGCTTTCTGCCTCCGGAGATCTGCCTTAATGAACGCTGAGGTCAAGAGATTGAGAAACACCAAAACACAGAATTAACAACAGACCAATGATGAAGTTCACCCGAGAGGGAGTCCTCACTTTCCGAAGGGTCACAGGTATCTCAGACCTATAGATATCCCAGGGAGATGGAGTTCCCCCCACCAACTTGACAGAGCCTGGGGATCACCGATATGCCTGACAGGCAGAAGCCAATGATGACCTAGGCCTTCATTTATATACCCGTGATATTTGCCAGGGAGTTTGCACATGTTGCGCTAGTCCTTACAACAACTCCCATTTTATAGTTTAAGAAAGTGAGCCTTCCAGAAGTTGGTCCACTTGTCCAAGGTCAAAAAGCTATGGAGGTCAGTGTCATGGTCTTGGATGCAAACAAGGGTCTTTTGGCACCAAATTCTAGGCTCATTCCACCAACACATGCTACTGCCCCCCAAACACATTTCTTAATAAGCCTTCCCCTCTGCCCCTCTGCAAGTGTACCCACGATCTGTATGATCAATCAAAACACTGAGGTCTCAAATCGTCAACAGCCTAAGCTCAGGAGCGGCCTAAGCACCATCTTGTCTTAAGGCCCCAACTCACCAGTGAGGGCTGCTCCAAGGGTGAGGAACACACAGAGAAAGATGTTCCCAGGCATGGTTCCGTAGTTGTCAATAATTTGGCCCTGGGAGATGGTGAAGATGATCCCGAACACCTGGAAAGGCACAAAGAAGACTGGAAACAAGGGCCTGGCCAACCAGCCCATGGGAGCACCGAGCTGTCATGATACAATGCCAGCGGCAGCCCAGTCAAGTAGGGAAAAAAGAGCCACTGTTTTGGGGCCACCACCAAATAAGAGTCCTACCTGGGCAGATACATTCAGGAGGCCAGACGATATGCCTTCCGATTCTGGGTATGTCAACTCCACAGCAAACTCAAATCCCAGCGGGAGGTAGCCCGTCATGAAGAAGCTGAAGGCCAGATCATAGAAACAAGATGGTGGAGAACTTCAAGAACAAGGAGGATAGGGAGCCCACCTCACCCACTTAGAACTCCTTTTCCTGCTTTGTTTCTAGTACCAAGATATTCCAGGCCATCCCTCTGGTGACCAAGGAAAGAGATACCCCTGCAGGTCAGGAAGAAGTTCCTATGGAGGCTTCATGTTCAGGAGCCCCCTGGGTGTCCGCTGCTTCTTCTATGCCCAACCATCAGTTACTGTCAGCATTGGGAGAAGGGATGAGGATGCCTGCGGTGTTCAGCCCTCAGCTGAGAAATTCTGCATCATCGGTCCACAGGCCCTGTGCTGGCAGTGGGAACTCCCTGGACACTAAACAGCATCTCCCTGCTCTCTGGGACCTGGAAGGAGGATCTCAGTGTCCTCCTTTTTCCCTCTAGAGGTTCACCAGCTGAGAAGGACTGACTATCTGTGTATCTCTGTCTCGGTCTTCCCTGTTCTCATACACATACTCATGTAGCACCCACAGGAAAATAACGGGGATGTGCAGCTAAGAAGAGGCCCCCACAGAAGGTGTGCTGTTTCCTGTGTTTTCTCATACAACAGGTCCAGAAAGTTCCAACTCTAATTTCTTACATCTGTAGCACACTTTGGGCTACTTTCACACTTATTTCTCTCTCACTCCTTGCAACAACCCTACAAGACAGGCCACTCTCATCTTCATTTACAGATGTGGAAACTGAGGCTCAGGGCAGTTAGGTGATACACCTATCATCTAAAGGTCAGCAGCGGAACTGGGACCAAGACCTGACTTCCTGATTCCTAGCCCTGTGCACTTTTTCTGCCCACCCCACTGTCCCAGGCAGAGCTATAAGAGACTCAAAACATTTCCTAGCCTCCCTGAGTTCTGTGAAAGACAGACTCCATCCCAATAGTATGGAAGCCCCAGGCAGCCTTTTGAAGTGTTGCAAGTAAACAAGACCTCTGACTACGATTTCCACATCTCCAGAGATCAATGAGAAGGCAACAAAGGGACGAGTGTTGCTTCCAAGGATGCTGGCAGCACTAGGAGCCACAGGATGCCACTTTCCTGCTAGAGAAGTCAGAGGTCAGACTTACCCCATTGTGCCAGCGGTGATGAACACTACCCACAGGTATCCCAGGTTCAAGGTCAGTGTGTACACCACCATGCCCACTACCGTCATGATGTAGACCACCAGGGTTGTCTCTCTAAAAGCAGAGACAAAGAAGTTGACTCATTGGCTTCTGACTATAACAGGACCATTCATTCATTCATTCATTCATTCATTATACAAGTATCATTTGGGCACTTGCTATGTGTCAAGCCCTCTGCTGTGTGCTGGGACATCAGTTCTCACAGAACATTCTGTCCATAAAGTTGATGGACACTGAACCAATGATCACACAAATAGTTATTTAAATACACTGTGGCCAGTGCTACAAAGGGGAAGCCCAGGAGAGGATGAGGCCCTCTTGTTACATGTGTGTGTTTGACTCCCACAGAACCCTCTCAACAATATCACGCTGCACCCCAAGCAAGAAGGACACAACCCTCTCCTTTCCTCGTCCTCCACCAAAAAACAAACAAACAAAAAAACAAAAAAACTACAGAACAAACATCAGCTCCAGTCAGGCAGCAGTGGCATGCAGGACTAGCTCAGAAGCCACCTCCTCCTTCTGGTCTGCTTTGCCCTAAGACCCCATGGCCGTGGCGGGCAGTGAGCTGAGTTTTTAGATTCTCTGTCATCTGGAACTTCCTCTTGCCAATGGCGCAGGGGCAGCGCAGATTTTTCGTCAAACCCAAACTGCTCCGCTCCAGACAGCCTGAAGCTAAGCAAGAACATTCTCCAGCCCTGAACTAAGTGCTTGAGTCCAAAGCCCAAGTGCAAAAGCTTTGCCCACTCCCCATGACATTCCCCTTTGCCAGTCCTCTCAGAAGGACCATCAGCCGTCTGCTGCTTCCCGTCTGGGGTTCGCCCTGCATGCGCCCCTCCCTACATTTCTCCTCCCACGTTGCCCACTCGTGACTCTGCCGCAGCCCCACCCCTGCCACCGGACCTATGTTCCTCCCCCTGCCCTGCTGATGGCAGGCTGCGGGCTCCGCCATTCCCCTGCCCACCTTCCCACGAAATGAGCACTCAGACACTGAAAGCCAAAAACCCTCACTCATCCCCCCTGAAACCAGAAACAAGGTGGGGGCACCAGTAGATGTATACTTTGGTTCTATCAAACTAACCCCGCATTTATTGGATGCCAGGAATTCTGTTAAGTGCTTCACGTGCATTTATTTTCTCACTCGAGCCTGACAAAAGCCCCACAAGAAACGTAGGACTACCCCTAATTTTGCAAATGAGGAAACTGAGGCACAGACCCCTTAGGTTAATTCAGAGTCACCCATTGAGTAAATGCAGAGCTGGGATTTGGACCCAGCCCTGGGATCGAAACCTATGCTGCTCTTTCTACTGCTGGACACAGGACCTGATACGTTAACACACTTAGACACACTACGTGGTTGCCTCTTTGGAAACGCTCAAGGCCAGAGCCTGCAAAGGATGCCCCTCCCACTCAGGGCTTCACAGCAGCTGTGGAGGGCAGACGGGCTCCACATTCTCCACCCTGCACCTGTGTCTGGTCCCACCCACGCCACAACAGACAACTTCATGGATACCCATTTCTTCTGCCGGCCATACAAGCTCCCCTCTTGCCGAGTTTGCTTAACTACAGCTTCATTTTAAACCACTGACCCATTTAGAAAAACTATAAGTAGTCCCAGCCTCAAATAACGGGATGTGACCCACCCAATTTCGAGCCACCATGTCAAATGGGTCAAATCTGGGAACCTCAGAGGGAAGAGAATGGGGCACCAAAATGCCCCGATCACAGAGCATCTTTCTCTGCCTGGGTCATAGCACAGGGTGAAGAGGATCTCACACTGATGGCAGGAGCTGGACATTAGGGACACTAACAAACAGTGGTGTCTACATCCTCAAGTGTGCCCTCAGCCCTTTCCCTGTATTTTCTAGTTCTTCTCAGTCATCTGGCTGCACATCCCAGCCCCACCACCATTCCAATCCCTTCCTTCTCCTGCTACAGATCGAGCCCTGGGAAGAGGGACACTGCTGTTCACTGGTTTTGGGGAGTGGCCAGTCCTCACTGCCCTCGGGCCGGGCTGAAGCAAGCCACTGACAGATGGCAGAGACGAGGCGGCAACCAAGCTCCCCCAGCAGTCATTAAGCCAAGCCAGGCTTCACGTCGCATTCAGCCAGGCGGCCACATCCCCAGGGATGACCTCAACTGCCCTTTGTCTGGGGCAGCCAGAGTCAGACCTGGTCTGACCAGAGCCTCACAGAAGCGGGTTTGTGTGACAGAGAACAGGTCTGCCACTGTCTGTCGCCTCCAGACACGGGGCGCTTTGGAGGCCTCGACAAAGCAGCCACCCTGCCCCAGGGTAGGACAACCCTGGCAGCTCCCCAGCTGACCCGCATTAATGGAGCACCTAGTGTATACACAGCACTGGAAAGGAGCAACAAGAAGGGAAGGGTGTCAGGTCTCCATTCTCCAGAGCCTTTCCTCTAAGCCTGGCTATTGGCTTGAGGCACTGGGTGGGCTGCTTTTTACAAAGGCGGTTTCCCCCACTGACCTGGCAGCCATGAGGATGGGGCCCAGGAATCTATTTTTAATAAGCATCCTGGATGAGCCTGGCATACACTAAAATCTTAGAAAGGCTGCTCGGGGCTCCTGGAAACACACTGGGCATTCAGGCCCCAAGCCCATCACGGTATTTACGAAGGAGGTATAAGCAGTAGCAAGATGATACGATGTAATCCAGAGGAAGCCCAGCCACCTTGCTTAACCCCTGGGAGCCAGGGGAACAGGGCAGGGCATCACTTCCTCATCGCCATTCTTTGGGATTTCCATTAACTTTGCAACTGCTGGCATTTTTCTACCTTTGTTTTCATTTCTCCCTCATCTGCCCCTTTCGCAAACTACATGGGAGGATGGGGAAAGAGTACTGGGCTAGGCCTCATGTCCTCCGTCTCTGATCTTATCAGATCCCCCATGGAATGGGTACTATTTCCCTCATTTAATAAATGGAGAAACTGAGGCTTAGAGAAGATAAATGTGAACCGCTCGACCACTGAGACCCCCAGCTCTCACACCCAACCCTCTGGAGCCAAATTGCTGAGGGATGTGTCATTTCAAAACAAGGGTCCCCAACTGTCAGTCCAAGAGGAGGACACTTACTTGTAGGTTTTGGACCTATCCAGCCAGATGCCTGAGATCACTGCCCCAAGCATTCCTGCAATGACGATGGTCAGGCCGATTCTTCCAGCATTCACTTCTTCCCCCTGGGAAAACCACAGCCCCCGTGATCACCCAGGCATGGGACAAGACACCAGACAGAGCACAGTCAGCAGGAGGTGACAGGGGAAAGAAAGGCAAGTAACTCAGGCTCCATTTGAGCTGATTCTCTGAACGTACCAGGACAAGGTGACCGAACTGTCCCAGAGCCACTCTGAAGTAGATCTTTTTAAATTTAATCTTTACGGCAGCCCTTTTATCTTATTTGTCATTATCCCCATTTCACAAACAGGGAGACTGAAATACATATATCCAAATATTCTGTGCTTAGTTGTTTTTTTTTTAATTTTTGAACTATTAGTGCCAAAAAGAATAGGAATATGACAGTTATATAATCTCGTTTGCTTCTCAAAATTCCCCACTGTGAGGTTAGAAATCAATAGTCTGTGCTTTATAGATGGAAAAAAAAAAAAAAAAGCAAGGCACAGTGAGATGAACCTGCTAGCGGGAAGGTCGTGAGGCATTTATTAAGAACAGAGCTAGGATCTGAACTCAGACCTGTCAAACTCCAAAATGGGAACACGTTAGCCACAGTGGCCTACCAGCTCTGCAAGTGTGAAACCCCTGTCCTTTTTTTAAAGATTTTATTTATTTATTTGACAGAGAGAGATCACAAGTAAGCAGAGAGAGAGGGGGAAGCAGGCTCCCTGCTGAGCAGAGAGCCTGATGAGGGGCTTGATCCCAGGACCCTGAGATCATGACCTGACCCGAAGGCAGAGGCTTAACCCACTGAGCCACCCAGGTGCCCCGAGACCCCTCTCCTTTCAAAAGGGGGTTGGACCTAGGATTCCGGACTCCAGGACACACACTATCCCACTCCTAGGATCCAGCCCTTGCTGGTTCCACAAACATTTAAGAAATGCTTTCAGGGATGCCTGGGTGGCTCAGTCAGTTAAGTGTCTGCCTTTGGCTCAGAGCGTGTTTCCAAGGTCCTGGGATCGAGTCCCATAGTCTGGCTCCTTGCTCAGCGGGGAGCCTGCTTCTATCTCTGCCTCTGCCCCTCTCCCTGCTCATGTGCACTCTTCCTCTTCTCTCTTTGACAAATAAATAAAATCTTAAAAAAAAAAAAAAGAAGAAGGAGAAATGCTTTCAGTTGGGCAACCAAGAGTTCAAAATTAAACTCTGCCCCTATTTTACAAATTAAATCTTTCATACATGATCTGTATGTCTGTAGGTTTACCTACTGTACAGCTTGTCGCCATGCCATGTACTTTACATACATAGAACATATGAATATATACATATGGGCACACATACATAGTATTAGTTTCTAATGCTAAAAAATAATCTTTCAATAAGTAATTGTGTTTCTTTTGCAGAAAGGAGAATGAGAGTTCAGAGAGGCTAACCAGCCTGCCACACAATTTAGAGCCACCAGAGCTGGGGCTGAGAACCAGGGCCGTCTCCCTCCAAATCCCGTAAGCACAGCACCATACGACACTGTCTGGAATGGCGAGGGCAGGGTGCTAGGGGTACTAGAGTTAACCACTGCCCCAGCTCCTGCCGGGATGGACAGAGCTTGAGAGCTCTCTTCAGCGTGCTCAGGGGACTACCTTACCGGGTAGTGCAAGATCACCATGCGATTCAGCAGTGTGGACAAGGCATAAAAAGCACCAGCATTGAGACCTGAAAGAAGGAGGGAGACACACAGCATTAGGGGCAGCCTCTGCTGGACCACTGCTAACGTCTCCCCCTGGCAGGTAGGGAGGTCAGAAGTCCTCAGCTTCACTGCCATTATGAGTGGTGTCCCCAGAAAGTAGGAGGCTACTCAAGACTCCAAAACAACCCAAAGTAACTATTTTAACCATTTCTTAGACCACACCACTGCCTGCGGATCCCTTTAACCCTGCCCTGGAAACACAGGCGCTAGAAACATTACTCCCAGGTCAGAACCATCTACATTCCTCTCAAGCATTGACCTATTGACCTACAGGGTCAGCAGAACCACTGGACACCTTCCATCTCCTCCTGATGACCTGTCCCCGCCCCAGACTGCTCCAGGCCTCTGACCCTTGACATCACTCCTTCTGTGGGTCATTTCTCTTTTCTGTCCCCATTTTTCCTTCAGCTTTCTTTTTGGCCCAATGTCACACAAAATCTCATATTTGAAACCAGAAAGCACCCTAAAGAGCACTGAGCTGACTCTCCTAACTCATCAATTCATCCAACGGATAAAAGGAACACCTAGAATATACCGTAAGAATCCACGAGGCCATTTGTGCAAAGCTATAGTAGCTTTGATGAGACTGAAACTGACCCAATGGCGATGAAGATAATGATGATGATGGTGGTGAGGAAGATAATGGTGAGGAGGAGGATGGAGAGGAGGAGGGTGAGGAGGAGAGTGGGGAAGCAGGTGGGGAGGAAGGTGGCAGTAGCACATTTTTATGTACTAGATACCATTTAGGTATCTTACAATCCTTATAGCAAGGTAGCTAATATTATCATCCCCATTTTATAGATGAGGAAAATGCACCCAGTTTTAAAACAAATACAGAAAGTCACTTTTTAATGCTCACCAGGGGTCTTAATTTTAACTAATTTTGAGGCTCACAAGACCATCACTGGTACACTTGACATTAGATGCCCTGGAAGACTCTAAGTAACAGGACACAGCTCACGAGCAGGGCAGCCTCAGGGGTTCCTCTTCCATGAAGCCTAGACCATGGAGCCATCCAGAACCCATCCTCTTTGGCCTCACAGTGATAGCACAGGTGCAGGGAAATGTGGGCATGGCAGCCACCCTGGTTTAACACCTCGCAGGAGCCACTATTGCTGGTGGCATCTCCAGAGGCATAGCTTCAGGGCCCCAGAGAGGACAGGCCAGTGAAAAGAGTCAGCACACTCAGAGAAGCACAAAGAATGGCCTCCTAGCAGATATGAAAAGGTCCCCCAATCCAGACAGTCATTTTTAAAACTGAGGTCATTTTTATCATATGCGATGTTGCCTAAATGCAGTTCACTTACTCCCTTTATCAGGTTCCCAGAGAAATGAGACACAAAGTTAAGTGCAAAAGAGTTTTAAAATGCAGATTCCTGGGCCCCACCCTGGATCTACTAAATCTGATTTTCCTGAAATAGAGCTAGGAATCTGTAATTTAAAAATAACAACAGGCACCTGGGTGGCTCAGTCAGTTGAGCATCAGAATCATGATTCTGGCTCAGGTCACTATCTCTGGGTCACGAGATCGAGCCCTGTGTTGGGCTCCGTGCTCAGTGGGAAGTCCCCTTGCCCCTGTCCCTCCCCCTCTCACCCCTCCCCCATTGCTCACTCACATACTCTCTCTCTGTCTCTATCTTAAATAAATAAGCAAGGGGCACCTGGGTGGCTCAGTGGGTTAAGCCTCTGCCTTCAGCTCAAGTCCTGATCCCAGGGTCCTGGAATCGAGTCCTGCATCGGGCTCTCTGCTCAGCAGGGAGCCTGCTTCCCCCCTCCCTCTCTGCCTGCTTGTGATCTCTCTATCAAATAAATAAATAAAATATTTTAAAAAATTAAATAAATAAGTAAAATCTAAAATAATAATAATAATAATAATAATAATAACAACAGGGGTGCCTGGGTAGCTAAGTCGATGAAGTGTCTGACTTGATCTCAGCTCAGGTCTTGATCTGAGGGTCTTGAGTTCAAGCCATGCACTGGGCTCCATGCTGGGTATAGAGCCCACTTAACAACAACAACAACAACCCTAGCCATTTCTTAGACTCAGTAGAGTTCATAAATAAATGACCTTGGGAATCTGGAAGATCCAAGACTAGGCCCAGGCTCCCAGGTTAACATGGCGGCAAATGGTATGAGAAGGGTTTTCAAGACCATGAGAATGACCCTACGTTAGAGCTGCTCAATGCTGCTGCAAACCAGAATCACCTGGAATGCCTTTTAAGAGCAGATTCCCAGGCCCTCACCCAGACTTTCTGAAACTGAATTTCTAGAAGAAAGGCAGGGAAATTCAGGCACACACTCAGCCAAGCACCCCAGGCAATTCTGTCATCAGGCAAGCTTGGGAAACACTGATCCCAGATTCTATCTCTGGGTTCTGGATACTCTGTGTTCCTTTCCCTTGGCTCCTTCCTGGACTTGTAGTAAACCCTCGTTTTAAAGGTCCAGCCTCACCTCAGCAAAGCTGCAGGGAATCACAAGAAGGATATTATGCCTACTCTCAAGCAGGATCTGAGAGGAAGCGCAATCACCCTCCCGAAACCCATAGGGTTGTGGGCAGTAGTAAAGCCCTTGAAAGCCCCAAGGGAAGGTGATAATCTTCCCGTGTTTGGATGTGAGTTTGGATGTCCAGCACTGGAAGATTATTCAGAAGGGTAGCTGAAGGCAAGGCTGGGGGACAACATGGAAAAGTGTTCCCTTTGAGGACATTCTTTAGAAGAGAAGCCTTTTCAGTGATTTTTTTCAATGTGGCAATTGTTGTGCCATTGATGATAGGACAGAAGAGGGGGCCATGTGAAAGCAGGGCCTAGGGACTCAAGGAGAAGGTAGCCAAGGAAAGGTTATTCTCTGATGCCACACCACTGCCCAACTCTGCTGATACAAATCCTAAGACCCACTGGGCCCCCAGACTCTGGCAGACCTATAGAGAATATGGTTCCAGCCCTGGGTCTTCCTGCATTGCCAAACCTGGAGAAGGGGATGGGGGGTATATTTTACTAGAGGAAAAGGCAGTTTTTTTATTCCTGTGATTTCAGCAATATCAAACACAAAACCCATCTCGGCCCCCTCCTCTCTAAGCTGGGCTGCCAGATTTAGGAAAAAAAAAAACAAAAACAACCTATCCAGTTATAATTTGAATTTCAGGTAATACTTTTTTTTTTTAAGATTTTATTTATTTGTCAGAGAGAGGGAGAGAGAGCGAGCACAGGCAGACAGAATGGCAGGCAGAGGCAGAGGGAGAAGCAGGCTCCCCGCAGAGCAAGGAGCCTGATGCGGGACTCGATCCCAGGACGCTGGGATCATGACCCGAGCCGAAGGCAGCTGCTTAACCAACTGAGCCACCCAGGCGTCCCCAGGTAATACTTTTTCAGCATAAATATGCCCCCAATACTCCATGGGACATGTTTATGCTGAAAAGAATGTGCTGTTTACTGACATTCAATTTAGTTGGACAGTCTTTATTATATCTCTCAAACCTATCTCTAACGGTATGACCAGAGGCCTACAAGAAAAAGCCCCCTGAAATTCCTCCAAAGCCCTCACCAGGCTCTACTCTGGGTAGCAGACTCAGCAGCTTGGGGAAGACTTGGAAAGCCATGAGAAAGACAGTACTGGACATCCCACCAGCAACATGGGAGCTACTCCCTATCTGGTGAAATGCAGTTCAGACCAATGAAAGAACGTGGGAAATCAAGTTCGCCAACACAACAGCAATGGGCATTCACGCAGTATCTCTCTGCGACTGCGTTAGAAGCTTTCATCACCATTCAGAGCACTCCAGTGGGAACCAAATTTGATTCTTATTTTCAGAGATTTTTATTTCATAGGCACAGGATGGGTAAAGGAGGTACATTCAGTAATTTGGCAGAGCAGACATTAAAACCCAGACTCCTTGTTCCTTACGTGCCAACTCTGAATTCACCACTCCAGCATTCAAGGCTCTTACTCCAAGACATGTTCACCCACATCCAGCAAATGTGCCCATGAAATGCTGTCATCAGCTTGATTCAAGCCACATGCTCTTAAGTGCATGTAATGCAGAGGAAAATATGAACATCATACGTACAATATAAAAAGTATGAACCATTTCATTTTTCAAAGCCCAACCTGAAACTACAGGATGAGTGGTGGGACACTCGGGAGAGCTTCAAAACACCTAGGTGAATTTATAGAGGGTTTTGTTTTGTTTGTAATTTGGAGCAAAGATTCCATTTGTAGGAGAGCAGTGATTCTTAGGTGGACTGAGTCCCAAACACTGCCTTTACATGACCTCTAAGCCTTAGAAAGACGCTAAAGTCAAGACCCCATCGTTTCCAAATCCCAAAGATGGCTGGTCAATATAAGTTGATCCTGCTTTGAAAACCCCAGAACTGATCTGCATCTTAGGAGAAGGCAACTCCTAGGCAGCTAGTTTAGAGGATTGAACCTGAAGAAGGAAATACCTCCCCTAAGTAAACCCAAGGACCACTGAGACAAGTGGGGCTAAAAGAGCTCTGGCTTTGTCTCTAGATGTTCCTTTCTCCATAAGGACACAAAAATGGCATGGTGGTGAGGAAGATAGGCTTCGGCATCAGTCAGACAGAAGTTTAAATCCAAGCTCTGTTGCTTGCTAGCTGTCCAGTTGTGGGCAAGGAACTAAACGGAGCCTCAGCGTCTTCATATATAAAATGGAATGGAGTTGAGAACCGATGTCATGGGATTGTTCTGAAGATTAAATGTGATAATCTATGTAAAGCACTTAACAGAGGGCCTGACATACATTAATAGCTCAATAAAATTCTATCCAAATCTGTTATTAAGCCTAATAATCGTATCCTTGTTGGTACAAAGTTTAGTCACCAAGTCCAATTTTCTATCATGGAAAAAGGCTTGCAGTTTTCTAACTATAATTAAATATATGCAAACATCCAGATTAGTTTAACTCTCTCTCACTGGAATAACCCCAGGTCTTTGACAGAAAAAAAAAATTAATAAATTCTATCTCTGCAATGGAGTCAAATGCTCCTAGAGACTCAGAAGCAAATTGTTTTTCTGGGTAGCAGTATCCCAATTTAAATGACAATTTACTTTCACCCTTTCTCTCCTCACCTTCTAGGACTCCCATTATGCGTATGTTGGTTTGCATGATGGTTTCCCACAGGTCTTAGGGCTCTGCTCATTTTTCTTCTTTATTTTTTCTGTTCCTCAGACAGGATAATTTTATGTGATCTATCTTCAAGTTCAATGATTCTTTCTGCTGCCAGTTCATATCCGATTTTGAGCCCTCCAGTGAGTTTTTCATTTTAGTTAGTGTACTTTCAATTCCAGAATTTCTATTTGGTTCTTTTTTATTCCTGTCTTTACTGATATTCTCTATTTGGTAAGACATTATTCTCCACCTTTTTTTTTTCATTTTTTAGGCATGGTTTCTTTAGTTCTTTGAACATTATTTATATTGTTGATTTATAATCTTTATTATGTCCATAGGTTTATTATGTCCATATGTTCCTTAGGAACAGTTTCTATTAAGTGCTTTTTTTCCTCTTGTGTATGAGTCATTCTTTCCTATTTCTTTGCATGTCTCATAATCTTTTGGTAAAGCTGGACATTTTAAATACCATGTCAGCTCTGGAAATGAGATTCTCCTCCCTCCCTGGGATTTGTTGCTATTGCTGCTGTTTGCTTGGTGACTTTCCTGGACTAATTTTGTAAAGTTTGTATTCTTTGTCATGTGCAGCTGCTGGTTTCTTCTACACCAGTTTAGTGGTGAGGTAATGATTAGACAGATATTTCTTTAAATACCTTAAACCAGTAAGTCCCCACCTTTGCCAAGGACCTCCTCTGTATGGGGTCTGAGGCTCTCCTTCAATGCTCCAGCAGGCAGGTGTCAACCCTGCCTTAGCCTTCACTTCCTCCTTGCCCAGAGCCTCAAGGTCAGCCAGAGGTGAGAGTTTAGGGCTCATATGCATGTGGACTTCTATCTAGATTCCTAAGAATATGTCAGAGCTTTTCAAAGCTCCTATGACCATCTCATTCTCTAGATTTTTGTTTCAAGATTTTTGGCCAGCTTCCTGTTTACCTAAACTGGTTATTACTACCTTAGGCAGTTATGATGCTAAACAGTGATGATTTTCAATAAATGCCCTAGAAATAGTGCTTTTCCCACAGAGCAAGCTCTGAGTCAGGTTAAATAAAAGCAAGTCCTCTGAATGGGGCTCTTCTAGGGAACTGTCAGATATCAAATAATGACCTAGGAATGGGGTTTTGGGGGGAGCTCCAGAATTGTTTTTGCCCCATCAAGTGGCTGTGAGGCTGCTGATTCTCACAACTACCATGGCTGCTAGGCTGCTGGTTGTCAAGGTTACCACAGAGACTGGGAGAGGCGGATTGGAATAGGGCAAGTTAAAACACAAAGCTCACTGTTCTTGCCGATATTCAGTCATTTTTTTTTTCCTTGAATAAATGCCCCTTGGATTGTTGCAAACCTTTGTTTAAGAGTTCTGGAAATTTGATTTTGACAATGTTTGTCAGTGTACTTGTTGCTTTATGGAAAAATAGATTATCCAAGGTCCTCACTCCACCATTCCAGAAGTGCTTCCCTATTTCCTGTGTTATCATTTAACCAAATAGATGAATGTGCAGAAGTACAGTGTTAAAACCACACTGCCAAATGAAAGACCATATAAGCAACCAGCCATGCAAGAGCTGAAGGGAAGAGTTGCTTTGCTTCCCTGCCTATACACTGGGATCATTGCCCACTTATCACCACTATCATCATTCTCACCCATAAAAAAAAAAAACAAAACTTTATTAAGCACTCATCTGCCCTAGAATGCCAAGGTAGGCCTAAAATACCCTAATGTCAGATGCAATAAGATTTATGGTGTTCAAAAGTCAATGCACTTGAGATATTTAACTCAAGGAAAAGTGAAAGTTCTTGGAACCATGCAATCCTAAATCTGAAAGGGATCCCAAAGGTCATGTGGCTTTACTATCCATCTATATAGCCTGATATTCTCTAAATATCCCCACTAAGTGATTGGTCCCATCTACACTTGAGTGCCTCCTACTTATGGACAACTCACGTAACTTGTTTAATTGGACATCTTAAGTATTGGAAAGTCTGTCTGCATGTTGTGGGTGAAGGCAGAGACATTCTCAGAACGGAAAAGCTGGAGAAATGAGAAATGGAGACCTGAGACCTTGAAGACTAATCTGTTCATCCAACACTTTTCCAGGTGAGAGATCACTTATTTTTGTGAGTGCCTGAAAAATAGGCGTGCCACTCTCCTGTGTGTGATACTACCTCTTCTCTCATGCCTCCGCAGATAAACACTCTAATAATTAACATGAAACTCTGGCATAATTCAAAAAGGGGTATAGGCATTAATTGTGTAGGCTTTGGAGTTAGATAAACCTGTATTTGAATTCTGCCTCTGCCAATGCAAAGCTGTGTCTTCTCGAGCTAGTTACTTAGCCTGTCTTGAGTTTAAGTTTTTTCCTCTGTTAAATAGGGAAAACTATGGTACCGACCTCACATGGGCATGATGAGAGTTAAATAAATAAAATCATACATTGGAAGTCTTGGCACATAGCAAATGCTATTGTTATAAAAAAAACAAGGTTAAAGCCAACTGGGGTTTCACTAAGCATAAATTATGTCAAACCAACCTTGTTTCTTTTCTTCTAATGGTTACTAAGCATGTTACACAACTGTTGACTCTTGATTTTTAACAAACTAACTAGTAAGGGTACCTGGGTGTCTCAGCTGGTTGTGTCTGACTCTTAGTTTCAGCTTAGGTCATGATCTGGGGGTCATGGGATCAAGCACCATGTTGGGCTTGCTGTGCAGCAGGGAGTTTTCTCCCCTCTCCCTCTCCCTCTGCTCTTCTCCCCACTCATGTACTTTCTCTCTCTTTCTCTCTCTCTCTCTCTCCCTCTCTAAAATAAATAAAATAAAATCTTTTAAAGAATTTTAATGCATATTCAACTGTATCTTCCAAAAGCCAAAAAGGGAACTAAAAGAGGGATACTGTCTTGTATTCAGGTAAAAAAAGAGTCAGTGTTACAAAATGACAGAGGATTGGTTGGGGACCGGTTTATGTGACAAGACTCATGAATTCATTCATTCATTCATTCATTCATTCACTAAATAACTGTTAGAGTGTCCAATCCAGGCTGGCCACTCCTAAGGAACTATAAAGATGAAAAGCCATAAATCCCTACCCTTGGGACATTCGTAGTCTAGGGGAAAAAGAGACCTGGAATTTTCTTTTTAAATGGTAAGTGTTAAGATGCACCAGGAACAGCGTAATAAAACAGGTAAAGGTCACCTTTATAGCAGTGATACTCAGGTAAGACCTGAAGGATCAGCAGGCATTTGTCAAGACAACTTGATTTGGGAGGGAATGCTTTTCTAAGTGAACTTCACAGAACATGCAAAGGCCCTGAGGCACAACTGACTCTTCTGGGTTGGTCCTGAGCAATAGCTTTATATACACACTAGGGATTTGGAAAGAGTAAGACACACAGACACATGAGGTCTTACGTAACCAATTTAAACACACTCCTGGACACACATGCACCTTACCATAGGTGATGACAAGCAGGACAAAGTTGAGGTTTTTGAAGAGCCGGACAATGGAACTTAAGTACGATGCATCAGAGGACGCCAAGGCATAGCTCAGAGATTGTGCCCTGCTCGGGGGGTGTTTAGGCTTCTCCTTGAATACTGAAAGGAAAGAAACAGAGATATCACTGCAAATCCCCATGGCCCCACCCCTGCAGAGCTAACACATGGACAAGAGAAAAGGTTAAGACTCAAAAAGGAGGGCGCCTGGGTGGCTCAGTTAGTTAAGCGACTGCCTTCGGCTCGGGTCATGATCCCAGAGTCTTGGGATCGAGTCCTGCATCGGGCTCTCTGCTCCATGGGGAGTCTGCTTCTTCCTCTGACCTTCTCCTCTCTCATGCTCTCTCTCACTGTCTGTCAAATAAATAAATAAAATCTTTAAAAAAAAAGACTCAAAAAGGAAATATTAATTCTTCAATTAAATCCATCAGTCCCTCTTTCCTGAAGCTGTTTCTCACCACCTGTGGCTTTTTCTTCATGGCCTCCAGATGGCTGCACTCCCTGGGCCTCCCAGGCAGCGTTCGAGGGTCAAGGAGTCCCATAATCAATCAGCAAATAACATATCACAGCACACTGAAAATAACATAGTAGTAACACATGGAGAGAGAGAAAGTGAGAAAGTTTGGGGTTAGTGAGCCCAGTGAATGGCTTAGCACCAGAGCTCCTCCCAAGGGGGAAGGAACTGTGTCGCCCCTGCTTAGCAGAGAGCCTGGCACATGGCGGCCAAGGAATATTCCCTGAATAAGTGGAAAGATCTTCTGTTGGAAAAAACCTCAAGTCAATTCCTAGTTTGTCAAATTCTGACTCTAATGTCTGCCTCGTGAAGAGACAAGAGAATTAACACATACCCCTGCAGGAGGGGTAGGAAGGACTGGGGAGAGATAGCACGAAAACCATTCATTTTGTATTTGATTTCCAGCACAGCTGGTACAATCCATTTGATGGCACTGATCGCTGTTCAGGTTCTGGGGGCAAACAAGTGTAACCATTTGTTTGGTTAAATTGCTTCCCCACCCCAAGTTGGGTCCAGGCAAGCTCCATGTAGCTTCTCCACATGCCATGAGAACGCTCCTGAAAGGTCAGTAGACTGTCTCTAGTTAGAGGAAGCTCTGGACGTGAGGTTTACTCTCGAAGATCAACCACCCCCTCCGCCGCAGAAAACCTTCAGAGCCCTAACTTCAGAGCCCTGCTTCTTCCTTCTCCAGAAATACTCCTGGATTACTTCCTGGTGTTGGAAACCATTCATCCACTGTCTTGTCCATTCACCTCCCTTTGCATGAGGAGAAAGAAAGCAAGTCAAGAGGCTATCTCTATTCCATTTCTCCAAGGGCCTGGAGAAACTACAAACCAGAATTCAGATCAGATTTTTCAGTTCTTTACTCCATTAGCCACTCTCTGGCTTGATAATAAAATGTCAAAACGTAGAAATGTCTTACCTTCAGGATTTCAAAAGCAAAGAACCACGCGCTCATCCGCTATGAGCACAGGCATTTGAAGCTGGGCACGTTACAAGCTGAAACTTAAGGTCTGGTTGAGTAAGAGGGACCCTGGGTGGACTGTTCTTTCCTGCTGCCATCCACACTCCCGTAGCTTCTCCCCTTCCCAGAATCAGCAAGTCCTCCACCCAACATATCCTGCCAGCTTCGAAAAGCCATCAGACTTTCTCATCTTGGAGCCCAGGGGGAGAGAGTGACTCAGTGAGAACAGTGGAACGGGGTGCACGATCATAAAACAGGAGGTGGGGATGGCAGGGAAGAATGAGACCTTTACCACGTGAGATGGAATGTTAGGAAGAAAGCTGGTTAACCTTCAAAGGCGAATGACTAACTGAAAATTAAAAAGCCTCTACTATGCTATTTCTGAATTTATCACAACACATTCAGATGATAGAAGAGAATATATAAATATATTAAGCAATATCTCAACGATCAAATGTACATGCACATAAAATTAATAGTGGTTGTCTGAGGTTGGTGGTGGGGATTAACTGGTACAGTCTAAGTTAATGGTTATTTCTTTTTATTTTAATTATTTATTTTATTTATTTATTGAAGTAACCTCTACCGCCAACATGGGGCTCGAACTCACGACCCTGAGCTCAATCAAGAGTCGCATGCTCTACCAATTGAGCCAGCCAGGCACCCTGGCTATTCTTTTCTTTATGCTTTTTCATATTGTCCAGATTGTTCCATTACCAACATGTATTCCTCTTATGGTTTAAAAAACAAAAAGCCTCAAAAAATGTGGTCCCCATGTATTCTCAGATGAATCTACAAGAATATTAGTGTTTGTGGGTCATTTCTGTTTTAGTTTTGTTCCAGAAATTTAGAGTATGGAGTTACACAGGATTAGACGATCTCTGCCACTTACTACCCATCTAATCTTGAATAATTTACTTAACTCCCCTTAAGTCTCATTTTCCTCTTTGTTGGAAAGAGGGGTTGATGGGATTGATGATGGGAATTTCCCTCAAGATTCAAGGAGATCAGGCATGCTTAGCACAGTGCCTGGATATATATCGTAAGCACTCAGTGGGGTTTCATCACAGGGATCAACAGCCTGCCCGTTAATTCTGGTGAGGTTTTATTGGGGAACCGGTTGATTACAATTAAATCCTTACTGAGCAGCTAACAAAGTACACAAGATCAGCTAGCACTCTATTGGCTAAGACATTTGAAGACCTCGACTAGCAGCCTGGCATCTACTTTCTGTAAATGTCCGTGGTATTCTAAGGTCATGTTCACAAGGTCCCCACCCAAGTCAGCAGAACCTCCCTGCCTCATGGCCCCCCATCATTCTACCAATGACCTTACCGATGATGACAAGGATGAAAAGCAGAGTAGCCACGCCTGCTATTATGTAAAACATGATGCTGATGTGGTAGGCAAGCTTGTCCCGGTCTTCGATGTTGGGTACCAAAACAGGAGGGACCAAGAACCCAATTGCAATTCCAAGCTATAGAAGACAGAGACAATCAATCACAGTTTCCAACAGCCAAGAGATGATAGCATAAACTTAAAGAGACTCCTGATAAGAAACATAAACCCTAACTTCCAGGCCTCCTTAAAACCCCAACAGGGATTGGTTCCCCCCTCTCAAAACACCAGAGAGATCTTTCATTTCATTGACAGCTCAACTCTTTTTATTGATTGAAACTCACCCCTGATCACCCTAACTATTGATACCTATTGCAAAACATTAGAGTTGGGGTTCTCAAGGCAGGCTGGCTCTTCTCTAGCTGCAGACTAATGAACAATGTGCTCTATAGTAGAGTAAAACAATGTTGATTTTTTTTTCCACTGAATTTTTCATCTCACTGAATCCATTAACCTGGAGCTTTGAGACTGGCTGACAGAAAAATTCTATACCCTACAACCCCTTGCATTCAGTAGGAAATGAAAGCCTAAAATTGTTATCCTACTCACACATGTGAAAAAATAAGTTCATTGTGTAAATAACTCATAATTTACAAAGCATCTATAGTGTGAAGTCACATGTCACCACGTAAAGGTACGCACACAGGACACGGGGACATGAAAACTGGTTATAAACATGCACGCACACACACCAGCGAATTAAAACATCTCATACCTGCCTCACAGTTCAAATTCCCAGGACCTGACAGATAACATGACTTGGGCATTACCAAGTTCCCAAATGCCTCAATTCAGTAATGGCTTACTGTGACGTAACTCCCGAAAGCCCTTCCGCCACACATACATACCAAGGCAGAAATCGGAAAACAGCCTAAGAACTCAGGCAAGCCTCAAATTCCCAAAGTGAAGGAAGATGAGTTAATCTTTTAAGGTCCCACTTTTCTTTACTGCACTTGAAAGGAACTGCGGGATAGAGGACGAGTTAGTTTCATGCCACACTATAACAATGTCTATTGACAACCTGTCTGTTGACCACCTTGATTGCTTTTCCAGCCTGTCAGTTACAACCACTCGGGATGGTGATTCTCAGCTCTGGAACAGTGGCAAAAGTCATCATCGATAGGCACAGTATAGGGTTCTTCCAAATTTGCCAATATATAATCAATAAATCAAACAGATCTTTAAACCATCTATTGTGTGAAAAGTACTCTGCTAGATATTTTACCAAGGTACCACGATGGATATGGCACAATTCTCGCTTTCAAGTAACTTTATAATCTAGGGGGGGGCAGGGACTTTAAAACAAAGATACAAAAGAATAACACAAATGGGGTTATTGTGGGTTGAAATCATAGGATGTTATTGTTTTGAAAGTTCCTTTGTCATAGTCTAGTACAGCCTGATTAATAGAGGGTCAAGTGGAAGTTAATTGAAGGTAAGCTCCAGGAGGTGAGTCACACAGGGTCATAAGAGTTCTAGCAGATTTGAGATAAGAAAACAGATCTCCTAGCTTCTCTGGCCAGGGCCTCCCCCACTGGGCCTGACAAGTCTCTCCAGCGCTAAGAGTCCTGAGAAAGGGCCAAGTGAGCAGACTTCTCCAGAAGAGAAGATATTTCATGTCCTTGGAGTCTTCTCTGATCCTTGGTCACGACGATTTGCCAGAGTTAAGTCTAGCTTAAGGGTTGATCTCCAAGAATTTAAGGGGTTAAAACCAGCCAAAGACAAAGGGACAAATACAACGGGCACAGTTGGAAAACAGGGCCCCCTGCAGGTTCTATCTGGTCTCCCACTACTTCGGTGTTGGAGATCTAGGCGTTCAACCGAACCCCAAAACATCCCTAGGTATTAAGGAGGACACGTAATGCATGGAGCACTGGGTGTGGTGCATAAACAATGAATCTTGGAACACTGAAAAAATTAAATTAAATTAAAAAAAAAAAGAATGAGGGCAGATATGGGATATTATCCAAGGCTCTAGGATTCTTTCATTCCCCAAAGGACCTTGATACAGGAAAACCTAATACTCAGTAATCTTCTGCTTTGAGAAAGAAGTCCTCCCAGCTGGTTCTACACCAGACCAGACTCTGATTCCTCAGAGACCACACTCCATTCTGTCTACACACGAGGCCTGAATGAGTGCTATTCCACATGGAAGCCTTCTCCAGACAGCAGGCTGAGGCAGTCAGCTGTAGGGGCCTGTGGTGATCCAGCCAGAGAGCAACACTGCCACAAGGTACCCTTTCTTCAGAAGGAAGTTGACTTTGGAGGTACTTCCGTGGTCAGCGTGGAAAACAAAAACATCCAGATTGGACAGTTAACTGCTGCTGCCTCTTCTGTTTTTTTCAAGATGTATCTGTTCCTTCTTCTTGAGATCTGTGTTCAGTGAGAGTTTACAGGCTCTGCTCTGCTCCCAATTCCTCAGTCTGTCCCCTGGCAGGTGTTCAGTCATGTTGGCTAGCTGGACAGATGGATGGATGAACACTGGTGGAAAAATCTTCTCTACGCAAAGCTGGTGGTATCGCACAGGTCTGCCCATGAGGGTCCCTGTTCTTTCTACAAACCACATTGGATTCAGAGGGGTAAGGGGAATATAAAAAGGTTTACAGGGGAGGAGGTAGGGAGAAGGTAGGATGGCTGGCCATTTCTTGAGCATCTACTATGTACTGTGTATCTAACAGCATTTATCTTTTTCCTTTAACCCAAGAAATTTTACAATAAAGACAAAAATGAGAAACACTGATGGTCCACACCCTGCCTAAGGTCACATGGGCAGCTAGCAGAAGAGCTGGCCCTCCTATACCAGTTCTGACTCCAGAACCTGGGCTCACCTCCCATCTCCTGTGACAAGTTGGTATGACACTAGTCAACATGGAAGCCTAGGTTCTCACCCATTCAAGTTCTGTCATGAATTTTCTAGGACACCTCAAGGGTAAAAATCAGAGACCTGCAGCCCAAGTCAGTACAAGATTAACTCAAAGAGATGGGAGAATGCCACCCCAAGAGGGTGTGCCGGCTCCTTTCCTGCATTACAAAAACAAGACCTGGGCCGTGAATGAAAATGATTAAAAATAATTGCTAACTGGTTTGATTGGTTTATGTCCTAGCGTTTGTCCTAGTTTTATCATCCTCAACAAATTATTAGTCATGGGCAAAAAACACAATACACAGTCAAACCATCCAGTCTTGGCTCTACAGGAACTTAAGCTTTAAAAATTGCTTTTCAGGTGCGCCTGGATGGCTCAGTGGGTTAAGCCTCTGCCTTCGGCTCAGGTCATGATCTCAGGGTCCTGGAATCGAGCCCCGCGTCGGGCTCTCTGCTCTGTGGGGAGCCTGCTTCCCTCTCTCTCTGCCTGCCTCTCTCCTTGTGATCTCTGTCAAATAAATAAATAAAATCTTTAAAAAAAATTGCTTTTCAAGTGGAATTAGGTTCTCGTCATTTCTACAGTACCAATAGCAAGATTGCCCACGTTGCCTGAAAAGGCCACCAGCCTTGACCCCACTGTGATCCCGCAGGTCTGGGATTCATCCTGAGTACCTGTATGTTCATATGTAGGCAATCCTTGTCACCCATCCAGGGAACTTGGGTGACAGTTTGGTCATGGTGTCCTAACAGCTTCCGCGTGGCTCTGCTCGCAGACATTTTCCACTCTGCAGCCCGTGATACTGGCAAAATATGATTGGATTATGTCTTTCCTCTACCTAAAACCTTGCAGTGACTTCCCCTTGCTTTTAAATTAGGCAAAAACCTAAGCACACCCACAAAGTTCTGCACTGGAGGTCATCTGCCCAGGCCAACTATTTGCTCCCTGAAACCCTGCCCCACTGGCCTCCTTTCCATCTTTCAAACATCCAAAGTCGGGTGTCTGGGTGCCACGTCCTGCTCAAGAGGGAGTCAGCTCCCGCTCATATGCATGCTTTCTCTAATAAATACATAAAATCTTCTTTAAAAAAATGTCCAAAGCACCTTCATGTCCAAGAACCCACAGGGATTTTGCACCAGCTGCCTCTGACCATACTAGAATGCCCTCCCTCCTCCGGTTCACCAAGTCAATGCAGACATCCTTCAGGCCTGAGGTCAAGCCACACTTGGTCAGGGAAGCTTTCTCTAGTGTCTCATTTGAAGTCAGGCCCCACCCAGGTAGTTTTATACTTGCATGATTATTCAATTACCATCTGTCTCCCCAACCAGACTGTAAGTACCAGGAGGGCAGGGCTCCCATTGGTCTCTAGAGCCTAGCACGTGATACTGATCAGTAAAATGCACGGAGTGGAGGATCTCAATCCTCGAAACAACCCCAGAAAGAGAGGTGTGGGTGTCCCGCTGTCCCAGTTTTATAGTCAATGAAAGGGAGGTACAGAAAAGTGACTTGCCCCAGGTCACACAGCTGGAAGCGGGAGACCTTAAGTTGGAACACACAGCTGTTCAGTCTCATCACTCTGGTTCACTTCACCCCAAAGAAGGCATTTAACAAAAACGTGATGAGCACAAGCATGAAAAACAGGCAGGCTGGGGTACTCAGTGCTCACACCCTGTTTTCTTTTTGCCCTTTCTGCAAACCCAAGGGTGATGTCTAAATGCTCTTGCAGCATCAGTAGTCATGAGTACTTCCAGAGCAAGTGTCACAGTCAAAACCACACCAGCGCCGCCTGAGGGGATTGGGGAACAGGAAAAAGCCATACTGTGTGTAAGGCACTCCTTGTCGTTCTTGCTTACTCTGCATTTGGCAGAGCAAAAAGAAACCTGGAAAACCACCAGGCTGCCTCTAAGAGGGTAAGATTTCCAAATTTAATCCCTTTGCATGGGACCAAGCATGTGTTATGTTGGCTCTAAGATCCACAGAACCACTATCCCCATCGCTGACCATAATGGGGCATTTAGCAAAGCCCTGGAGTCACCACTGAGTCAGAATCGTGGCACAGAGCTGTCCTCCTAAATGTCGTGTGGCCATGAAGATACCCAAGCCATCAAACGAGGACCCTGAGCCTTCCAAGAAAGGCACGGAGCTCTGTGCCAACACCATGGTCAGGTCTTTGGTCCTAATATCCCAGGGACAGAACACTGGTCCCCATCTGAATCCTTTGCTAGGCTCCTAGGCACCTCATCCTCCTGTCCTTGGGCCATTGGTAAGGTGGACACTGCTCTTCTTGATAGAAGGCTACCACCTCAGCAAACAAGTTCTCACTTGCCCAACTCCCTCTTCTGCCCAC